CATATTGATGTTCTTTTAATTTTTTCCGAAGCGATTTACTATAATTTTGACGTGATTTCCCAGTATAAGTCGATGGAATATTGTCGAGTTTCCATTTAATGTCTCGATATTCATCGTTCGATAACATGACTATAATAGAAATAAGAAATATATATGAGTATAATAGATGCCGATTCGCTAAAGCGAATCTATGATTATTAATGATCGATTCTCATATAGCATAGGAATTTATCGATTGCTTGTAATATGTATTACGAGAGGGAAAAACTTCTTTTTTTTTATATATATGGAAAAGAAAAAATCTTTTGGTGTGAATTCATTAATCATTTTACTATCTCAATGGCATGTTGTTACGAAATTTGGCTCTCTCTCGATTCTCAATATGCACAATGAGGATCTAACGAGAAGAATATAATATAAGTTATATCCAATAATTAATTCCGTATAATCAAATAATTAATTCAATAATAAAAATATTCCAATTGAGTATAATAGCCCTCCACAATCAGTGAGTGGAGGAAAGTCACACTCCCCGGTCATGCTATGCTAAATTATGTCGAGTCGGATTAATCTAATTTTGAATAATTATTTCATTTACTTTGAGATATCATTTAATATGACGGATCTCTTTATTAGAGAGGTCCTGAAATTAACAAATTCGTTCGAAGATTGAAAGTAACATATCAGTTGTAACTTGACGATATAGTGTTTGTTTCTTAACATGTTGAATGATAAATGTTTTTTCCGTAAATTTTTTAATGATTTTAAATGGTCCTTCATAACGAAGATCAAATTTGTAACGGATGTTGAGCGTTTTAACAAGAACTAAATCACCAATATTGTATACTGGATTAGAGCGATTCCTATTATAAGGTTGTTTGTATTGTTCTTGGTGTTTAATAATATTACATTTCGCTTGTTCATTTAAATTTGATAGAAATTGATTAAGTTTTTTCACATGTTCAGTATCATATTAAAGTGTAACGTTGATATCTTGATGATCAAATGGTAGAACGGGCGATCGACCGTACATCATTTCGAACGGTATGTGCTTGGTTGATGAGTGAATCGAAGTATTGTAGTTAAATGTAACGAAGGGTAATTGATCATTCCAATTAGTTTTATGTAAATTCGATAGTGCTGCAATTTTAGCATCCATAGTTGAATTGTAGCGTTCAATTTGACCGTTTGTTTGTGGATGGTATGGCGTTGAATATAAATGTGTGGTACCAATTTGTTTAAATAATTCATTCGTTACGGTTGATGTAAAATGAGTTCCATTGTCGGTAAGTATGCAGCGAGGTGTTCCAAATTTTGCAATAATATCTTCTTTAAGAAATCTCACGACTGTTTGAGCTGTATTATCACGTACAGCTTTCGTGACAACGAATTTTGATAATACATCTGTAAACGATATAATATATTTATTTCCACGTTGTGATGTTGGATTAATCGGTCCATGGAAATCCATAGAAACTAATTGCCATACTCCATCAGGAGGTTTAATTGGTTTTAATGTACCAGGAGGTTTTTGTCGACGAGGATTGAATTGAGCACATAGAATACATGATTTAATATAATTATTAATATCCTTATACATCGATGGCCAAAAATAACGTTGTTTAATTTTGTGTAAAGTTTTATTCCTTCCAAAATGAGCACCATTTGCTGCCGTATCATGATATGTGTGTAAGATTGTTCGTCGTAGACCACCTTGTGGTACATAAGGAACTGGAGGATTCGATCTTCGCATTAAAATATTATCCTTTACTGTATAATTTTTATAATTCTTGATGTTGTTCAGAATATTTTTTGCATAATTATCATTTTGTTGAGCTTGACCTAATTGTTCCATTGAAAATGGAATTATTCGATTCTCTTTAATAGAAGTATTTAGAGAATCTGAGATTAATTTTGTGCTATCTTCTGTATCATTTATAACTTCATTTCGTAATTTCATAGCACGAGTTTGAACAGCAGTAACTATAGGTAAATGGTAATTAATAAAGTCAGGATCAGTTTGTGTTGATTTTGAAGTGAAAAATGATATTCCATCAGGATCTTCTTCAGCGTCATCAACTGGAGATCGTGATAAATAATCAGGCATATAATTTGTTAATCCAGGAATATATTTCACCTTGTAATCATATTCTAAAATTTTTAATCTCCATCGTTCACACCATTTATTAATTTGTGCTGTTTTATTTAATTGTGCTAATGCTTTGTGATCAGTTTCCCATGTAAATTTAATTCCACTTAAATAATTATGCCATTTGTCTAATACACAAATAAATGCATAACATTCTTGTTCCATAGGAGACCATTTGCGTTGTGCTTGAGTAAATTTCTTCGATAGATAAGCAATAGGTCTATCTCCCTCTGGATAGATTTGCAATAATACTGCACCGATTCCCTCGTCGGATGCATCAGTTTGTACTTTAAAAGGGAATCTGTTATTTGGAAGTCGTAATACCATGTCTGTGGTAAGAATTTGTTTGAGTTGATCGAATGCGTTTAATTCGAGCAGTCATCCAATTCCGCAATGTTGAACATTCCGAAACCAGTTCCGCCCCCGGAATCAGTTCCGTCGATTCCGGAATTAGGTCAAATGTGAACACTGTCCGATTCCCGGAATTCCACGGAATTCAGTCCAATTCCAGATTAAGCTGAAAGCGGAGTCACCGGGAATTCATAGGAATTACACGGAATTCCTAGTAATTCCGGAATTACAACTTGTATTACTATTCTAGCTTGTCTTACCCAGCTCGTGATGATCCGATTCCGGTACGGAATTCCGGAATTAGGTCACTACGGAATCGGTGGGAATTAGACGGAATTCCTAGGAATTCCGTGTGATTCCGTGTGATTCCGTTCAATTCCTGTTCGACCTGATTCCTGGAATTCCGTACCGGAATTGCATTCGTCACGGAGCTATTAGAGGTATCAAGTGTCCATTGATCACTCAATTCCGGAATCGCTGGGAATTATACGGAATTCCGTGTAATTCCGTTCAATTCCGATCAATTCCTGTTCGACCTAATTCCCGGAATTCCGTACCGGAGTTGCATGGTGTGGGTGTTGCCATAAGTGTGGGTGTCAGTGTGGGTGTTGCCATAAGTGTGGGTGTCTGTGTGGGTGTTGCGATAAGTCTGGGTGTGGATGTTGGTGTAAGTGCGCTGAATTCCGGAACCGTTCGGAGTTAGGCGGAATTCGTTTGAATTCCGTGTAATTCCGGAATTGAGTCGGAATTGATAAACGGAATTCCGGGAATTAGATGGAATTGATCGGCAGTGATTCCGGGAATTCCGGAATCGTGTTGGAAGTGATATACGGAATTTCGGGAATTAGATGGAATTGATCGGCAGTGATTCCGGGAATTCCGGAATCATGTTGGAAGTGATATACGGAATTTCGGGAATTAGATGGAATTGGTTCCGTAAGCGGAACTGGTTCCGGAATGTTCAACATTGCGGAATAGGATGTATTCTCTAATGAAGCGCGTTTTCGGCATTTCATGAACTCACTCATATCTCCATGAAACACGTTTTATCACCTTCGACGATTTTACAGCGTTTATTGGATAGCAAATAAAGGGCGTTTCAATTATGGTACACGATCTAACGCACGAAAAGACATAGATTGCGCTCACACGCGTTTTAAAATAAGAATTTAAATGCGTTCATATGCGTTTGCTCTGATTAACGCTAATAAACTCGTCGAAGTTCTTTAAACGCGCTTAAAAAGATAATTACAAACGGATTCATCTGCGTTTTTATTATAACTCGATGCCGGAACGCATCAGGACGCCAACATTTGCAACATAAACGCATCTAAGTGCGTCTAAAATGCGTTTCGTGATTACATGGGATAGACATTACATAGCCGAATAATGCAATAAGGTAATTTAAAACTTTCACCGTAAGATTTAACAAGGAATTCAGTTCAGAGCTCGGACAAGTACAAGTATAGCAAGTAAAAGTATTTTACTTTTACTCAAAAAAGAAAGTTTGTACTTTTACTTATACTTCAAAGCAAGTACTGCTATATGTACTTGCCTATGTACAAGTATACTTGCTTTTGTACTTGTACCTGAAAAAAAAGTATTTGCACTTGTACTTGTCTCTAATAAGTTTGTTAGAATACTTGTACTTAAATAAAGACGCTTGTACTTGTACTTGCATTTGTACTTCTACTTGGGTTTGTACTTATCCTTTGACAGCTGTGTTGTTATGTCTTTTGTCATGGAGCACCTATGCGCGTTTCTATACTTTAGTTTTATAACAAAAAATTACTTTAACCTATACGCATCATCATATGCATCGTAAGTCATGCATTATGTTATCTATCTAAGAAAGTAATGGATATAAGCATATTTATGCTTTTCTGTCTTTCAAATGTATTTTCAGGTCTTTCTAGGTATTTGTATTTGTAAACATAATCTTCACGTATTTCTCAAAGAGAATAAAATATATAGACAGGTAAAAATATGTGAAAATATTTGAGAATACATCGGCAACACATAGTATA